GACATAAATACATCATCCCCATTCATGACAAAGTAATGGAAGAACATCAATTGAACAAAGCACCATATCAAAACCTAACAAGTATCTCTGAATAAAAGTGGTATTAGAAAAGATCTTACCTTGGCACTTATGATCTTGCCGAATGGATCAAACAATTCCCTAATCTTGTCATCGTCCAACTCGTCTCCGAAGTTCTTGATGTAAACATTGTTGAAACGCTTCATCTTGTCACCAAGCAGGGCGATTCGCTCTTTCCTAGGGATGAACTTGCCAACATACCTGTTACAAACAATACAAAAGTAAGGAAAGCTGCCCACTGGCATTGGTGAACAGAAAGTAGCAAAAAATAATATACATGGAAACACATTGTAATTATAGGGAGACGCAGAACGATACATATTGCAATATACATGGGGGCCCAGATAATACATATTTGTACTGTTCAAATGGCACTCCATTCAATAATCCCGACTTCGGATTGCAAGATGGGGAGTAGGGATAGATGGGGAGTAGGGATAAATGAGACTACCTATTATGTCCCCAATATGGAATGTTAATGTAACAGTGTGACGCATATGCAGTTTACTTTGTTTAGATAAGAACCCAGTCCATCCAAAGGCTAAAAAAGGTAGATATAATTCTTATAAATATATCCTCATTCATCTGTGACTATTGGAAAATATCGATACCCAAGGGTTGTATTGTGATATGGTATACTGCTGACGGTCAGATTCCTTCCTACAACATTACTTTGGGGGGACCAAATAATTTACGCGTGTTATAGACGATCAGTAGGTTTAGTCGGAGGGGGCAGATGACAGTACATGCTTCCTCTGCCTACCTAACACTGTACACAGTGTACTTTTCAGTTTGAAAAAAAGATTGGAATATAGTAGTTAATGATTCATAGTGTAAAAACATTTATCACTTGTTATGCTCAGAAAAGAACAGTTACCCTTCAGCTAATTCATGTGAAAGAACAGCTAAAACAAACTTGGTCAATAAAAAATTGAGATACTGTGGTAGTCTCATTTTGGCTGGGATGAAATCTCAAATCTTTTCGTTAACTGATGGACCAGGTTGGCTGCTATGGAAGTCATCTTTGAGGAGCGATGGAAATAAGAACAGTGATCTGATTGGATATCACATCTTCATCACAAGGAACAGCTCATTTTCTACACGGTGTGGTGCCACGAACAAGCCAAGAAAAGTAGGCTTGAAATGGCAATGGTAGACAATTCTTTGATATAGGCTTGTGGACACTTGCCTCAGGAAGATGCTAACAGCCACTGTGCCCAAAATAAGACAGGGCCCTAGCTTTCATGGCCAACCACACCTCAAAGGAAACACTGCCCCTTCGATTCAATACCATAGGATAAGGAGACCTGGTCCACCCATACTCTTTTTACAGAGGGCACAATGAAAGATCAGCCAGCATGGTCATCTTTCGCAAAAAAAGCAAGCTACGAACATTTAGATATTTTGCTCCTGGGTTGAGTTTATGTTTAATATGCACTTACACTTTCTTGCCATTAAGCAACATGCCATTAACTTTCTCAATGGCCTGTCTGGCAGCTTCCTCAGTCTCAAAGTGGACAAAACCATAACCCTTGGAGCCATTTTCATCAGAAGCTATCTGCAAAGAGAAAAGTTGGATACCTCACTTTAAATCTACAGATAAAAAACATTATCATAAAAAATAAAATATGCTGTGTTAGAAATCAGTTAACTGTAGTCTCAAATATAGACTTATTGGTTGAACTTACTAGACGGGAAACTAAACACTGGCTTTAGGCCGTTATCAGACCTGCACCAATCTCAAATGAGATGTGGACTAGTTGTGTGCATTACACTGCATCTTCCTTCAAGGAATCCGAGAGTCCACGCTTTAAGTAACCTATGCAAAATCCATCTCGGTTAATGACACAATGCCATCAGTTTGTCTATTAACATACCTTACAAGACAGGATGTTGCCAAAAGCAGAGAATGTGTCATACAGAGCTTTGTTGTCGATGCTCTTGTCCAAATTCTTGATGAACACATTGCCCACTCCAGACTTTCTCAAGGAAGGGTCTCGTTGAGACCACATTATTCTGATTGGTCGACCCTTGATGGTATCAAAGTTCATTGTGTCCAAAGCCCTTTCAGCTGTAAATATGTACAATATATACAAATTACAATGAAAAAAGATTAGCAATCAAAATTCCAATCTAATTTTGTATTCACATGCAACTGGTTGGAGAAGAGGGAAGTTGATGAATAACAGAAATAAGAAAGCCTTTGACGAGATTTGAAACTCTCTCAGTGTTGGCTTAATTCATAATGGGAACACTTAAATTACCTTAGACCGCTATTTCAGGTCACAATAACATACACAAACAGGTAGGTATATTGATATATAAAAGGCAACATAAGAGCCACAATACCAAGTGCATGAAATTGAATGTGCTTTCATGAAAGTAAGCACTTAACAGAATAAAGCTGTGCCCTTGACGTATTAAAACAGTGGTTGATGGTGTGAACTCCATCCAGGCTGTTACGAGGTCAGTTAAGTCACATGTGGCAAAAGTAGGACATAGTCATGGGGATGAAATAGGTTATTTTAACGCTGAAACGAACAAGTTCATGTTGCCAGAATACACAAGAAGGCCTCGCCTACGTGTCCTGAATCGAAACATCGTGCTGCACATAAGGCCTATTACTTTCAAACGCAATAAAGCAAAGGTCCTCAATATGCAATTATAACGAATACACACATGATGGATATTTAACATACCGTCAGCAGGTTGTTGGAAATTAACATAGGCGTAGCCAAGTGATCGTCGAGTAATCATGTCTCGACACACACGAATGGACAACACAGGTCCTGCTGTTGAGAATTTCTCGAACAACATGGCTTCTGTGACATCGGGATGCAGATCTCCAACGTAGAGAGATGCCATCGGATAGCTTGGTCCTGCGGGATTCATCTTGGCTTGTTTGTTTTCTCGTAGAGTTCTTCAAAATCAATGTGGTTTGGAACTTGGGTGCTGACTTCCTCCGTATGTCGACTCAGGAACTGCCGTTTCAATAACTTTTTTTGGTATTTTTAGTTAAGTTTTTCTTATTTTTTTGGTTGTTTTTTCAATGTTTTGTGTTTTTTATGGTATTTTATAGAATAATTATTCCTATCTTACGAGTGACACGGAATCTAACACGGCACGTGTTGGGGATTCCGTAACCACTGATGTCCTGAGAAGAGGGACGAACAGACAGAACACTCAAGTCTATATGGCCTCAGCCCACAGTTATCTTGGCGTGTATTGGCCGAGTGTCAGCTGAGAGTGGTCACACCTGGTGGCTCGCTGCACTTGATTGGCTGTACACAGCTACCTGTCCTACCAATCATTTTAATGAGTAAAGACAGGGCTTTCATGTATATAAATATTTAACAGTTTCAATTTTCATTTTTGTTGAAAAATATGAACTTTAATTCAATTTTTTTTGTTAAGAATTGCATACATGTACCTAAAAATAGGCCAAAAAAGAAAGAATTGATTTACCGGACTGTTGATAGTAGGCTATATGTAATGACGAGACAGGAACACTTGCTTGTTTTGTCAATTTCCTTTTGGTTATGGAGTTATGGACAAATTAGAATGGCATTTGAAATGATATTCATGCCAAAAATATACTCTCAATATATGGATGCAGCATGATTTCAAATGACTATAAGTCAAGCTGTGTATGAGTTAGGGATTCCAAATTTTCTGTGAGCCTTCAACAGTGTATGGGCTTAGTATTGATGAAGTTTTATTTGAATTGCATACTTTTTCTGTCCTGATATGGTGAGGCTAGTGCATATGTTTGATTCACTATATCTCTATTGTTGCAATATCGAGTAATGACTGCTCCCTATCATATCACAATCCAGTACAATAACTGATCCCTGTACATCCGGGCTTTTTAAGATCATGGCCTCCGAGAGTAAAGTGTCAAGTCAGACGCGATTCTTGTTGTCTCTATAATTAGTGTTTGGATAACACGGGATATTGACACATGGTGGCAACGGTGCGGAATTAACTTGATGATGATGTTTACCGCTAGAATTGACGCTGTCAGTAGTGCTGGGTGCCTACATGGATGGGACAGTTCACCAAGCGAGTGAGTAATGTCGGACCTCGGCAGAATCGCACGTGGTTTGCGACTACAGGATTTTGATGATTCTGGATTAATTATGCATTTTGGTGAATGAATGAACATTTCACACGAATTTCACATTCGATTTCCTAACTGATGAACATTATCGATGGTCAGGAAGAACGTGAAACGGGTGGACATGACGACCACGTGGGCGTGCAGATACCGCATGGCAGGAGAATGCCATTGCCGAATTTGACACCTACATTGCCGCTGAAAATGTCGGGTGATTTGGCAGATAATTGGAGAATGTGGAAACAGGCGTGGCAGAACTTTGTGATTGTTTCACAACTAGATGATTACCCAATGAATTATCAAGCTGCTGCTTTATTGCATTCTATCGGAACTGATGCACTAAAAGTATACAATGTGTAGGCGCCCTCTAAAGCCTGTAAAAGGCGCCCAGTGACAGTAGAAATATAGCTATATTCGACCAAAGGTCAGATGTTATATGCTGCCGTATTTTGCGTTGTGTTTCTTCTTCTCTCTGGCAGTAGTCTTAGGTCTCTATATTCTAGTAGGCTCCTGGTAGGGTTTATCAATTCTAATCACAAAGAACGGAGTTAGGTTTAAAGTTTATTTAACAAACAAAACAAAAAGGGGCCAAATCCTAACCTTACCTATTCCCTACATAATTTCCCCCCTTCCCTACCTACTTAAACCTATTCCCCCGTATAACTAAACTTGTACTATTAACCACCCGTCTAACTTAACTCCCAAAAGTAAAACGTCTATAAACAAACCTATTCAATCATTACTCTATTTTTCCCCCACCCATACATCTTAATCTATCTCCTCAATGAAAGCCCTAAAAATAATAATGAATGATCCTGATTCAGGACGCGGGAGTCGACCGTGCTTACCAGATACTGGTGAGAGACGACTGACGATTCCCTACCCAGGGTAGGCTTATAAAGCCAACACGCGGACCATGTGACCAGGAAAACGGACACAACCAATGAACACGCTCCTTACATCTCGGCTCTCTCAATCATGGCTTCCGCCTAGCCGAGCATGCAAGGAGCGTGCCATCGTCACGTCTTCCCAACCACTACGCCTGCGTGGGCATAAGCCATTACTCAAGGACTACAAAGATAGGTACTACGTCAGCCGTTCAACTCACCCTTATACTAACCCACCCATAACGTTATTAAATATATATATTTACCCACTATAACCCCTGGTCGACTACAAATGCAATGGAATTCTTGCCGGAGGAGCACAGGGATGTGACTACTATTATGGCCAAGTTTGATTCATACACAATTGGAGAAACTAATGAGACGTATGAACGATACATTTTGAACAATCGTGTACAGGCAGATGGAGAAAGTTTTGAGGAATACCTCACAGCTATTTACGGAAGCATTTTAGGGCCATGTCCCAAAAAAATCATATCCCTATTAACTGGAAATTCCACTTAGTATCTGGAAAATTCCACTTAGTATCTTGAAATTTCCACTTAGTATCTGGAAAATTCCACTTAGTATCTGGAAATTTCCACTTGGTATCTGGAAATTTCCACTTAAATGCTTTAAATAGAGTCAACAGCTATATTGGAATTAATCAATACCTATTAACCTCAAACTATGGAGAGGTGTGTTAACATCATTCGAACATACGTATGCTTAGGTTTGAGCAATAAAGACATTCTATATTTTCTGGCTCATGATCACAAGATTTTGATAAGTGAACGCACACTGAAAAGAAAACTTGCTAAAATGAAGCTCTATCGGAGAAAAGGAAAATCATAGCTGGTTGATGTCGCTCTCTTCATCTTGTCTGAATGCGAAACCTCTGGTATGCTACATGGCTATCGATGGATGCATCAAAGGTGTAGGGAAAAGGGTTTGACTGTTGACAAAGAAACTGTAAGAATATTGCTTGGTTTCGTTGATCCTCGGGGTGTGAAACGTAGTAAAAGAAGACTGGAGCGCCGAAAGTACCTTTCATCAGGACCTAACGCTGTGTGGCATATCAATGGGTATGACAAATTGAAGCCCTACGGAATTTGCATTCATGGATGCATTGATAGATTTTCACGTAACATCATATGGTTGCATGCATGGAACACGAATAACAATCCAAAGCTGGTAGCAAGTTATTTCATTGATGCTGTATCAACAGATCAAGGATGCCCAGAGAGAGTGTCCTCTGATGCGGGGACGGAAAATACATCTGTTGAGCAGATGCAATACTTTCTGAGGAATGATCATGTGGACAGATCCCAAATGTCAGAAAGGTGGTCAAACTCTTCACATTTCCAGAAACCATGTCATCTTGTCAAACAGCTACTTCAAAGTTTCTTATCAAGTTTGTTAAAGAACTAGACTCCGTGTAGTGCCTTCCTCTAGGTGGGAGACGAGGTGGTGGTGCACTGCCTTCCTGCAGGTGGAGACGAGGTGTTGCACTGCCTTCCTCCAGGTGGGAGACGAGGTGGTGGTGCACTGCCTTCCTCCAGGTGGGAGACGAGGTGGTGCACTGCCTTCCTCCAGGTGGGAGACGAGGTGGTGGTGCACTGCCTTCCCCCAGGTGGGAGACAAGGCGGTGGTGCACTGCCTTCCTCCAGGTGAGAGACGAGAGGGTGCACTGCCTTCCTCAAGGTGGGAGACGAGGTGGTGCACTGCCTTCCTCCAGGTGGGAGATGAGGTGGTGGTGCACTGCCTTCCTCTATGTGGAGATGAGGTGGTGCACTGCCTTCCTCCAGGTGGGAGACGAGGTGGTGCACTGCCTTCCTCCAGGTGGAGACGAGGTGGTGCACTGCCTTCCTCTAGGTGGGAGACGAGGTGGTGAATTGCCTTCCTCTAGGCGGAGACGAGGTGGTGCTGCACTGCCTTCCTCCAGGTGGAGACGAGGTGGTGAATTGCCTTCCTCTAGGCGGAGACGAGGTGGTGGTGCACTGCCTTCCTCCAGGTGGGAGACGAGGTGGTTGTGCACTGCTTTCCTCTAGGTGGAGAAGAGGTGGTGCACTGCTTTCCTCCAGGTGAAGACGAGGTGGTGCACTGCCTTCCTCTAGGTGGGGGACGAGGTGGTGCACTGCCTTCCTCCAGGTGGGGGACGAGGTGGTGGTGCACTGCCTTCCTCTAGGTGGAGACGAGGTGGTGCATTGCCTTCCTCTAGGTGGAGACGAGGTGGTGGTGCACTGCCTTCCTCTAGGTGGGAGATGAGGTTGTGGTGCACTGCCTTCCTCCAGGTGGGAGACGAGGTGGTGCACTGCCTTCCTCCAGGTGGGAGACGAGGTGGTGGTTCACTGCCTTCCTCCAGGTGGAGATGAGGTTGTGGTGCACTGCCTTCCTCCAGGTGAGAAACGAGGTGGTGCACTGCCTTCCTCTAGGTTGAGACGAGGTGGTGCACTGCCTTCCTCTAGGTGGAGAGGAGGTGGTGCACTGCCTTCCTCCAGGTGGGAGACGAGGTGGTGCACTGCCTTCCTCCAGGTGGGAGATGATGTGGTGGTGTACTGCCTTCCTCCAGGTGGGAGACGAGGTGGTCCACTGCCTTCCTCCAGGTGGAGACGAGGTGGTGCACTGCCTTCCTCCAGGTGGGAGACGAGGTGGTGCACTGCCTTCCTCTAGGTGGAGACGAGGTGGTGGTGCACTGCCTTCCTCCAGGTGGGAGACGAGGTGGTGGTGCACTGCCTTCCTCCAGGTGGGAGACGAGGTGGTGCACTGCCTTCCTCCAGGTGGGAGATGAGGTGGTGGTGCACTGCCTTCCTCCAGGTGGGAGACGAGGTGCTGCACTGCCTTCCTCCAGGTGGGAGACGAGGTGCTGCACTGCCTTCCTCCAGGTGGGAGACGAGGTGCTGCACTGCCTTCATCTGAATTAAAATAGATGCTTGGGTCGCTGTATTCGAAAATACTGATTTTTTTACTAAACATGAAATGTTACCTTTCATCCTGGGTCCCGTATATATTTTATGACACTTCTATCATTCGAGGACAGTGTGAAAATGTTTTGTGGCCGAAGCGCTCGTAAATGGATATTCTCACAGTACAAACGAATACTTTCTGTAGCTTTGTGCTTGTACATGGTGTTGCCCAGAAACAAAATACTGACTTTTAACAAGTGTGTTCTGTTGTTCATGAAATAGTTTAGTTTTAACTATAGTGGTTTTACTTTTAAAACAAAGGCGTTTGCAGGCCATGTAATGGATGTTATGTGTAGAACCGTCTCCTTGAACAAAGTATGGCTGTGTTGAGGGCGGGGCATGTGGTAGTATGTGAGCGAGATTGTATTGATGCTGCTTTGAACAGTGTTTCAGCTTTTTGCCGTACTCAGTGCTCTGCTACAATAAGTTCTCCCTGACCAACTTCTACTTTGTAAGTAAGTTTTATAAGCGTCCACTACAAAGACCGAATATTTCTTGTGTATATATCATTTTTTACAGAAAATAGCAGCACAGAAGGGGTATATAATTGTCTTGTAACTATTATGAAAAATGGTTTAGTTTCATCAAATAATGAATAAGGTTTGTTCCCCACCGTCTGATCTCTGAAGTGTCCCCCGTTGTCAAGTTTGTAAGCGATTATTAATGCAAATACAGTATCCCCGTGTTATGGGTTTTCGGGGAACGTTAAGAATCATTCCTAATGTCTCGTTAATCACAAAAAAATGTGAAACATCTCACTCGCTCATAAAAGACGACTTTATCTTAAAAACGGGCCATCATTTGAGTATTTACAATGTCTGTACAACGCCACACACATTGTTATTGCGCGAATAATCGCCATAAACATGGCCCACCGAAAACGTATCATGACAAAGAACCTGATCCGACTTCTTATCACTGAGAGACAACTTAAGTGAGCTCGTCTCCGATGTTGACCAGCTTGGTGAAACCCTTGAGCACTGGGACCCGTGAAGATCCGGGGTAGAATAGGTCTTCAGCAGCCCATGCTTGCCGTAAAAGGCGACTAGGCTTGTCGTAAGAGGCGACTAATGGGATGAGGTGGTCAGGCTCGCTGACTTGGTTGATGCATGTCATCGTGTCCCAATTGCGATCACAGGATTTTCTGGTCCAGGCTCGATAATTACAGACCACCGTCATACAGCTGGAATATTGCTGAGTGGCGTTAAACAACAAACAAACTGAACTTGAGCACTGGTATGGTCCTGACAAACCAAGAAACAATCAGGGATTTTTGCGATTGAAACCCACAATCATCTGGCATGCCTCAGGAACACATCACTGCACAGTGAACTGTGGCACCTTACATGGCTCGGCCACCATCCACATGATAGAGCATGGGTGTACAGAGTATGAACAAGACAGTAATTAGATTATACCAACATTTGTTTGGATTCACATTATTTTCCACTCCTCTCAATTATTGATCTCACAAGTGGCAAACATGCATACCTTTTCATTACCTCTTAATCCAGGGTAGACTTGTTTGTGACCAAGTACCCCATCCTGTGTTGTAAGAGGCCATTAAGTGGTTCAAATAGTCAAGTTTGATGACCTGGTTCATTACAAACAAAGCTGTGGAAGCACCCAATCCTACATCCACATCTTAGTTCCTCCTGCAGCTGACAGTATCAGGCTGTAGTTGATAGAATGTGAGGGAGAAAAACACATCTAGTTTCCTGCATATGTAATGTAGTTGTCCACTCACTGACTCACTAACTGCTCACTCTGTCCACTCACTCACTCAATGCACACACTCAATGCACGCCCAAGACAAAGATGTGGTTCAGAGCCCACTTACTCACTGCAACCCCAAGACCAGAGCTCACTCACTGCAACCCCAAAATGTGGTTCTGAGCTCACACTGTCCTCTCACTCACTCACTCACTCACTGCACACCCAAGATGTGGTTCAGTGCCCACTTACTCACTGCAACCCCAAGATGTGGTTCGGAGCTCACACTGTCTACCCACCCACTCACTGCAACCCCAAGATGTGGTTCGGTGCCCACTTACTCACTGCAACCCCAAGATGTGGTTCGGAGCTCACACTGTCTACTCACTCATTGCAACCCCAAGATGTAGTTGAGAGCTCATACTCTCCACTCACTCACTCACTACAACCCCAAGATGTGGTTCAATGCTCAGTCTCCACTCACTGCAACCCAAAGATGTGGTTCGGAGCTCACACTGTCCACTCACTCACTGCAACCCCAAGATGTGGTTCGGTGCCCACTTACTCACTGCAACCCAAAGACGTGGTTCGGAGCTCACACTGTCCACTCATTCACTCACTGCAACCCCAAGATGTGGTTCTGTGCCCATTTCACTCACTGCAACCCCAAGATGTGGTTCGGAGCTCACACTGTCCACTCACTCACTGCAACCCCAAGATGTAGTTCAGTGCTCAGTCTCCACTCACTGCAACCCCAAGATGTGGTTCGGAGCTCACACTGTCCACTCACTCACTGCAACCCCAAGATGTGGTTCGGTGCCCACTTACTCACTGCAACCCCAAGATGTGGTTCGGAGCTCACACTGTCCACTCATTCACTCACTGCAACCCCAAGATGTGGTTCGGTGCCCACTCACTCACTGCAACCCCAAGATGTGGTTCGGAGCTCACACTGTCCACTCACTCACTCACTGCAACCCCAAGATGTGGTTCGGTGCCCACTTACTCACTGCAACCCCAAGGGGTGGTTCGGAGCTCACACTGTCCACTCACTCACTGCAACCCCAAGATGTGGTTCGGTGCCCACTTACTCACTGCAACCCCAAGATGTGGTTCGGAGCTCACACTGTCTACTCACTCACTGCAACCCCAAGATGTGGTTGAGTGCTCATACTCTCCACTCACTCACCCACTACAACCCCAAGATGTGGTTCAGTGCTCAGTCTCCACTCGCTGCAACCCCAAGATGTGGTTCGGAGCTCACACGGTCTACTCACTCACTCACTGCAACCCCAAGATGTGGTTCGGTGCCCATTTACTCACTGCAACCCCAAGGTGTGGTTCGGAGCTCACACTGTCTACTCACTCACTCACTGCAACCCCAAGATGTGGTTCAGTGCCCAATTACTCACTGCAACCCCAAGATGTGGTTCGGAGCTCACACTGTCCACTCACTCACTCACTGCAACCCCAAGATGTGGTTCAGTGCCCACTTACTCACTGCAACCTCAAGGTGTGGTTCGGAGCTCACACTGTCCACTCACTCACTCACTGCAACCCCAAGTTGTGATTCGGAGCTCACACTGTCCACTCACTTACTCACTGCAACCCCAAGGTGTGGTTTGGAGCTCACACTGGCCACTCACTCACTCACTGCAACCCCAAGGTGTGGTTCGGTGCCCACTCACTCACTGCAACCCCAAGGTGTTCGGAGCTCACACAGTCTACTCACTCACTGCAACCCAAAGTTGTGGTTCGGTGCCCACTTACTCACTGCAACCCCAAGGTGTGGTTCGGAGCTCACACTGTCTACTCACTCACTCACTGCAACCCCAATATGTGGTTCAGTGCCCACTTACTCACTGCAACCCCAAGGTGTGGTTCGGAGCTCACATGGTATACTCACTCACTCACTGCAACCCCAAGGTGTGGTTCAGTGCCCACTTACTCACTGCAACCCCAAGGTGTTCGGAGCTCACACGGTCTACTCACTCACTCACTGCAACCCCAAGATGTGGTTCAGTGCCCACTTACTCACTGCAACCTCAAGGTGTGGTTCGGAGCTCACACTGTCCACTCACTCACTCACTGCAACCCCAAGTTGTGGTTCGGAGCTCACACTGTCCACTCACTTACTCATTGCAACCCCAAGATGTGGTTCGGAGCTCACACGGTCTACTCACTCACTCACTGCAACCCCAAGATGTGGTTCAGTGCCCACTTACTCACTGCAACCCCAAGATGTGGTTCGGAGCTCACACTGTCCACTCACTCACTGCAACCCCAAGATGTAGTTCAGTGCTCAGTCTCCACTCACTGCAACCCCAAGATGTGGTTCGGAGCTCACACTGTCCACTCACTCACTGCAACCCCAAGATGTGGTTCGGTGCCCACTTACTCACTGCAACCCCAAGATGTGGTTCGGAGCTCACACTGTCCACTCATTCACTCACTGCAACCCCAAGATGTGGTTCGGTGCCCACTCACTCACTGCAACCCCAAGATGTGGTTCGGAGCTCACACTTTCCACTCACTCACTCTCTGCAACCCCAAGATGTGGTTCGGTGCCCACTTACTCACTGCAACCCCAAGGGGTGGTTCGGAGTTCACACTGTCCACTCACTCACTCACTGCAACCCCAAGATGTGGTTCGGTGCCCACTTACTCACTGCAACCCCAAGATGTGGTTCGGAGCTCACACTGTCTACTCACTCACTGCAACCCCAAGATGTGGTTGAGTGCTCATACTCTCCACTCACTCACCCACTACAACCCCAAGATGTGGTTTAGTGCTCAGTCTCCACTCGCTGCAACCCCAAGATGTGGTTCGGAGCTCACACGGTCTACTCACTCACTCACTGCAACCCCAAGATGTGGTTCGGTGCCCAATTACTCACTGCAACCCCAAGATGTGGTTCGGAGCTCACACTGTCCACTCACTCACTCACTGCAACCCCAAGATGTGGTTCAGTGCCCACTTACTCACTGCAACCTCAAGGTGTGGTTCGGAGCTCACACTGTCCACTCACTCACTCACTGCAACCCCAAGTTGTGGTTCGGAGCTCACACTGTCCACTCACTTACTCATTGCAACCCCAAGATGTGGTTCAGAGCTCACACTGTCCACTCACTCACTCACTGCAACCCCAAGATGTGGTTCGGAGCTCACACTGTCCACTCACTTACTCACTGCAACCCCAAGGTGTGGTTTGGAGCTCACACTGGCCACTCACTCACTCACTGCAACCCCAAGGTGTGGTTCGGTGCCCACTCACTCACTGCAACCCCAAGGTGTTCGGAGCTCACACAGTCTACTCACTCACTGCAACCCAAAGTTGTGGTTCGGTGCCCACTTACTCACTGCAACCCCAAGGTGTGGTTCGGAGCTCACACTGTCTACTCACTCACTCACTGCAACCCCAATATGTGGTTCAGTGCCCACTTACTCACTGCAACCCCAAGGTGTGGTTCGGAGCTCACA